CTTTAAATTAACTGACGCGGTGGACACATTTCCAATAGATGGGTATCTGAAAACCGATGCATAATATGTGGAGTTTATTGCTGAAAGCGATAGACACGTGTTTTCTCCAGATCTCTCTTGAGCGTCCGCAAATCTGCCCACGCCAGTGTGCGCTTTCTAATGCACATGCTGTATGACGTCATAATGCATGAAACGCCACTTGCTTTCGTCTAAGCAAACAGGGAACGGAAAGTAAGAAAAAGTCTACGTGTATATGAGTGTGAAATTGATCATTAGTGAAATAAATATAAAAGAGCGTGTGCTCGTAAACGTATACCTGGGCCTCGTAACTCGAAAGCAGCGCTCATTGCGACCGAGCGCAAGTGTCTCGATTCCGTCACTCGCCCATACTCGCCCAATATAATACACTGTAGCCTAGAGTATGTGGTATCGCAATATGCGATGCTTTCGAGTGAAGGAACCCAGTGCGAGTACAGCTTGGCTGAATGATTATAAGCACCCCAACTCTATATGGAGTGGCTTGAGAAAAATAAAGGATTTTAACTCCCGTAGAACAGTAAGTACATGAACGTTTATTTGCGAAAAAAAAAATGAAGAAAATTAGTTAACGAAAAAAAGGTAATAACTTTAAACAAGATGTGTGGTATATAAATAAGTGAGTAAATAAATATATTTTGAAGCAGGAAGTATGGGTAATAAATGATATAAATAAATAATGAATAAAAATTAAAAACAGGATGTGTGAGCACAAACCTTTAAATATCTGTTACATGTATCATCTTTGTTACATTTCTCATATTTGAGGACACTTGCTATTAGGCCTTACTTAAGGCAATGACAGACCTTGGACATATACAAAGGGGGTTACATATGCTTTAACCTACCACGCCNGGATGGTTATCATGTCGCGTGTATCGTTTTTGAGATACCGACATGCTTTGCGCGAGATGACGCAATACCAGGGGTGGTCCTATGACAATCGGTGGGAAAAGGAACTATATAACGCATCCAGGGGTCGTGTATAGCGGGGCAAACAGAATAGGGTGGGGTGGGGGGGGGGGGACGTGATTTCCATGTCGTCAGAAAATTAAAAAAAACGGCCGTTTTTCATTTCCATTTGATAGAAATGGCCAACATGTGATGGAAAATGAAACTCAAATTTCGTTTTTCCATTTAAAATGAAAAATGGAAAATCTGATCAAAATGATAGGCCTACTTTCATCTTTTTTGTACAAACGGCGTTCAATAGAATGCCAACGTCGAATCTCACACGTTTGTCAGTAAGTGTGTCATTTCAAGCTTCGCTTAAACCCCCTTTACACTGGACAGCGTCCTTTCTGCGTCCTTTGTGCGACCATGAAACTGGCCAGGACGCCGTCAGACGCTCAAAGAACGCACAGTGATCGCCAAGGTCGCACAAAGAACGTTCAAGCATCGCCGAGGACGCGTCATTTGAAAGTGGATTCAAATATTCTATGTTGTGTCAGTCATACTTTCTCGTTTTCGGCGCCTGTCCATCCTTCTTATAAGGATAACAATGAGCATCTGGCTGATTATCAGTCCATTCAGACCTTGCATCACTATAGTTTAAAGCGTTTATTCCAATTTATTTGTTTTGCGTGCTGGAAATGTTCTTTATTGGATGACCTGGTTAGAACCGATGAAAAAATGTGAGTTAGAATATAGAGGACGCCCAAACAACGCTCATCCGTCAAGCAGTATGCAGAATGATCGTAGAATAGACGCCACTAATCACCGATGAAGGTAGGCCCCTACAGAGAACGCACCAAGAATGCTCAATGGTCGCTCAAACATTGCAATAGACGCCTTGGTTGCACAGGGGACGTACAGTGGAGGCAGGCAGGTCACTCGCAGTTTTACAGGTAAAATCAAGATTCGGTCGTTCAAAGGACGCACAAGGGACGCAGACGCCTTTACACTGAGGCACGATTTAATTGCTTTGGCGACCGTTGAGCGTCCTGACCACATTTTTTTAACGCAGAAGGAACGCAGAAAGGACGCCGTCCAGTGTAAAGGGACCCGGTCAGCACTAGATCATATACGGCAGCGGGACGGAAGTGAGTAATCCAACATGGCGGCCCCCAGCGCCGCCGCAATCGGCAATCCTCGGCTCATTCCGCAAGCTCCATACTAACCATACTTATTGTCGAGTGCGGAGACATCCGAGTAGTTCCGAGTGGCGCCGCCGAGACATTTATAGGATGTAGTTTTACAGCAAAATATCTAGGAAAATATACATGTATGCTATATCCCTAGGGATTCTTTATTGATACACCTTCACATATAAGGTACAATCAAAGACAGTAGGCCTACATCTAACTATAGCAGAGTACAAACAAGTGAATAAATATAGGCCTACATACGTGTTTAAAAATGGGCCGAAGTACAATCATAGAGGTAAAACAGACAACTCCAGCTACAGATACGTAAATTTGCAGGACGTGGAAACGCATTTAGACCCAATTAGATAAATGTATAATAATACTAGGCCTAATAAATGAGTTTATAAAGTGATATATATATAAAATGTGTAATGATAATCTACAGGCGATGAATTTAAATACAAACACTGAAAAGAGTACAATGTATAAGAGAGGGTTAATTGTTCCCTTTGTTGGAAGCATCTATTTACAAAACGCATAACCATTCTAAGAATATTTAAGTCTTGAGCACCCATAAGAAAATTATACAGTTCATTAAAGCTGAAGTCGCCTATAGCTAGGGGTAGGAACTCTGACAGCTGCCCTCTGATGGGATCACGTATTGAATCATATGCTTTGCACTCTAGCAGGAGGTGGAACTCATCTACTTTATTCAAATCGCAAAGTTTACAAAATCCTAGGTATAATACGATTAAAAAATAAAAAGAAAAATTAAAAAGTAAATAAAAATTATATGCTATATTCCTAGTTATTATACGATTAAAAATTGAACTGTGTTTTGATCGGCACTACAACATTCGACTATCAGCCTTAGCATCTCGTCGCTAGGGACCGCCATGTTGGATTACTCACTTCCGTCCCGCTGCCGTATATGATCTAGTGCTGACATTACTCACTTCCGTCCCGCTGCCGTATATGATCTAGTGCTGACCAAAGGGACCCTACTGATGCATTGGTGAATAGTGTTCAGTCTCACAATAACAGACATTGAGGAAGGTCACGGTGCGACCGAATGCCTTGTTTCTGCTTTTTCATTTTGTGTAGAAAATGACACTTTTAAATTTATGATTATTATCAGTAGACTACACAGATGAATTATATTCATCAGAAAATATAAAATGATGTATGAAATGTTTAATTTTGAAATGTTAATGCATCATAAAACATGAATTTAGCATTCTTCACGTGAATATTTACCGCAAGTTTTTCTATCAGAGGTACCGAGTGATTCAATCTATTATAAGCTTCCATGTTTTTGTTATAGCTTTTGTTATATGCTATTATTACTAGCAACCCAAACTTGCCACTATGTTTATTTACATTAAAGGCACATTAAAATGAAAAATTATGCATACGCAGAGGCCTTAATTGCGACTAATTTGTATCGCCGCAAATAATAGCCTCGAAACTAGCGCACGGTCGCCATTTGCGACGCTTTCGAGATATGGGATAGCGCGGTATCGCCATGCTTGCGCCCGCTCGCCATAAGCGAAGCTTTCGAGATACGGGGCCCAGTATAAATCCAATACATAGCGCGTGCGTTGCGTTTACTGTGAAGGTCGTATAAAAAGAGGTCATCGGTAATAACGCTAATGGCATGACGTGTTGCAAATTCAATAAATATATTTTTCATTCAATTTAAATTTTTGTTTTTCAATGTTTCACATTAGTCTTTTCTTTTTTCCATTCAATGTTGTTTCATATTTCTTGCAGTATTTTTCATTCAATGTTGTTTCATTTTTTTATGCATTATTTTTTTTTCATTAGATGATATTTCAAATTTTCATTCAATATTCTTTTTTTTTCATTCAGTGTTGTTTCAAATTTTCATTCAATGTTGTTTCATTTGTATGCAATAATTTTTCATTCAATGTTCAGGAGCGGATCCAGGATTAATTGAAGGGGGGGTCCACTTACTAGTGGCTCAAAGTAAACAATAACGCTTTACTTGTACAGGGGCGGATCCAGGATCATTTGAAGGGGGTGTCCGCGGAAGCGAAGCCGACCCTCTCTCCCTCCCCCCCCCCCCCCCCCCCTTGCCGTGGGCGGGGGGAGTCAAATTTTTGGTCTTCTAGAATGGTCCATTTGGTACGATATTTAGAACTATGATCCAACTAGTCAAAGTTCTAATTTCAGGAGGGGAATATTGGTGTGATGTATTTTTCAGAAACCGAAGGGGGGTCAGGACTGTTTATAAATTATCTTAGATTTATTTGCCTTAAAGAATTATATTTCTTTAAAGAAATAATTTTACACCACGTTACATTATGTCATAGTCATTTTCTTTGTTTAGTGTACCACGTATGTGCGAATAGCCTTATATCTATTTGACTTGCATTTTAGGTTTTATAATAAAACGGAACTGTTTTATGACCACCAACGAACCGATGGTAAACATAATCAACAGCTTACCACCCACGATACCAAACCTACATATGGCACCTGTTAACATACGGCATGTTCACACCATTGCGGGACAGCATAGCACCTATGTAATGCTGTGCTTCTGCCCGACCCTAGTTGGCGTGTCAAAACAGAAGCCTTTGGTTTTGTTTGGCCTCTTTGTCCATTTAAAGTCATGCTGTTGATTTTGCGCAAAGAAAGAGCCCTTGACTTTCAAAAAGTGGCTTTCAATCCAGAAAAAGACACCGTAAGGGTATCTTTGTTAAATTTTGTTTATGAGTTATTTTAGAACTCTTTGGAAAGAAGGAAGAAACGATTTCTGCACCTTCTTTAACACGGACATTTTTTTTTTCAACGATAAAAATGGGCTATAAGATTGCCGAGTAAAATTCAACTTAGTGAAACAAGCAATAGTTCAATTTTAATCGTTTTTATTAGAATTTAAACAATCAAAACTGGCTTAACTCCTTACAACATAAGAAACCAATAAGTAACGATTGAAAAATCGCTGAATCCAAATTTAATTCATTTTCGTAAATTACCATTCCTTTATATTAATATAGTTACTGTTTAAATGTTATGTGAATTAGTTTTGAATGACTGCTTTGGAAAGGTTGGCTAATGTTACCCTCTACCGGGGCATTATTGATTTTCCATTAAATATTCAAAGATAATTATTTCTCTATCTTATTATATGCACCGTTCTGTGCAATAAGAACTGTGTCATGAATTAGCCAGAGGAATATCTGTGAAAATAATGTGAAAGTCAATCTGTGACCCTGGCAGAGGGTACACTACAACTGTGATTGTCTTGATTTGGATATAGTTGTTTTTCACCTTGAAAGTCAAACATGTCTGTTAACACCTTACGACAATTATATTTGAATAGTGGCCTCAAAGAGTTTTAATACCTAAACAATTTTTTGTCCCACTCCAACGACTGCGGCTCCAGCTGCTCCTCCGACAGTCGCAACAGCTCCGGTTGCTGCCGTTCCAAGTCCAGCTGCACCTGCCGACTGAAGCAACGCCACGAGACTGCCCGCCGCCACACCTCCGCCATTTGCAATCGCTGCACTGCTCATCATTGAGGCGGCCATGGATCCGGCGGCTATCCCGCCGCTGGTAAATCCCACGACTGTTAGAGCGACTGGGGCTAAAGCAACAGCCCCTATCGCGCCGATGACACCTCCGACTATCATCGCGATTCCTGAACTACGTCGTGGACCTGAAAAGAAAGATTCATGAATCATTTAAAATTTGTAATGAAATAAAAAAATATTAATTAATAATCAAAAATGTATTTTATAATAATTTGGCTAATCAATGAGTTAAGCAATAAATAATAAGAATTGAGTTAATTCATAAATTTGAGAATTGAGCCATATTTTCAGAGGTTTGGGCTCTTTGAGTGCTTTTTAGTTTTACATTGAATCAGCTCATGGTTCTTTGGTTATCTTGTTTTAACAGATCTTCGTTTGATATAGTCCTTGGCCAATATATTTCTATGATTTTTCTGAGGCTTGAGGTGTGAATAGTAGATAGCTTCCTGAGATCTTTTTCTGTTATGCACCAGTTTTCTGAACCACAGAGAAGAGTTGTAAGTACACAGCTCTCAGATATGTGGTGTTTGGTTTTTACGCTATACTGAGAGCATTTCCAGATCATAATTAATGTTGTGATAAAGTAGCACAACAGCTCAATGATTTGTGCAGTTGAGGAAATGAAAATGGATTTATAGGATTATGCGTATTGAGTATTCCATGTAACTGTACAATTCAAAACATGTAAGACTTCAATTGATAATCAATTGTGTTCATGGAAACGACACTGAAATTGTACATCCAATATATCTGCTTTTTTCAATTCATTTTTTTTTATCTTCAGAAATCTTCAGAAATATTAGGAGACTCATTATTTTCAGAATCATCAAAAATTACACCCTTATGTAACCCTCCGTATGAAAGATAGTTTTAAAACAAAAGATTCTATAAAAAATGGCTCGACGTGAGGAGGGTGAGGCAGATGACAGACGAAACGGGTCGGGATGAAATAAATCATGTGTCCCCACTGCATGAGCGTTAACTATTGTAAAGATCCTTTTCAAATTCCAATCGTACATGTACTCATATTAATTGTGTTCATTACGTCTAGAAAACGAAGTGATATACTAACTTATCTTTCTGCAGTGGCACTGCAGCTACGTGTATAACCCCATTTATACTGATAATATACCTATGGCCTGTTTTAAGGCTTCCACCCACAGCCCTCTCTCTTCTGCCGAATCCGCCTCCAGTTCATATGTCACTTCTTCAGCAGTTACTTCAAATCTATGAAGATTTTGGTCTTCTGTCCCCTGGACCCTGGCATTCGTGATGTCTATTATGGCTTCGGGTGCATCATTCTCATTTTGACCTCTGTAATTTTGAAATAATTAGAAATATGTGAATTAATTAATAAAATGCACTGTCACCAAAACGATATATGCCGGTGTAACGTGACAGAGTTCCCCATAACAGAGAGTCCGCCTCCTATTCATTTGTAGTGGTGAGCTTCCCCCTAGATTTTGATCCACTTGGGTCAGACTAAACCTAACCATTATGCTATATGGAGGGCGGACTTTCTGTTACACGGACCCTCGGTTTCGTTTCGTGTCAGTAAGAGGTGCTCAAGGTATTTATCATAACATTCAGGTTTAAATATTATACCTATGGCAAATGGCACATTCCTTGGAATTTTCTCAAAATATTCACACAATTGTTAGAGCGCATTCAATTTTAATTTATTAAACCATTGAGCCCTACGGCTCACCAGTTTGAAATATAGTAGAATATAGTAGAATCATACATGATTTCATTCATTATAAAGGTTCCACATAAGTATTTGTACTGCTTTTATTTTATATCTGATTAGTGTAATCTACTCTTGAATTCAGTTGAACTGATAGTCACAACAAACAGTAAAGGACGCACTTTGTAGGAAAACGCTGAGCACCCAAACCCAATATAGAGGTGCAATTGATGTCACAAGCATGTTATTAAAAATATTTACTGCACAGATTGCTAACTATGTTTGATTATTTTAGGGTCCCACATGAAGAAGATTGTTTAAAAGTTTCACTCTCCTGGAACCATGAATAATTAAAAATAATTCATCGTTTAACCCCAAAAAGGAACATACGTTACTGTCACAAATACAAAACGTCCAACTGTGAAACGTTCTACTCACTTTGCAAATTCAGTCATCTCCTACAAGTATAACGTTGCTAAAAATTATAATAATCTTCTGGATATACCAATTAATTGGTTTTGAGCGACTTAAGTTTGCTTATCACAGAATATTAAAAAAATGGGGAAAATACACCCTACCGACAGTAAAATAAGCATTAAATAAACATGTTTCCCTTCATGATCCAAAGATTATATCAGAAATGTCTAACTATCATGGAACTACAATATATTGTTCGGTAAGCAAAAGAAAACATTGTATCTCTTGCACACAAGTACTTGAACAAAATGAAACATTTTGACAATTTTTCTAGGGAACATACGTTACCTATAAGCCATGACGCAAAGTCCCTTGACTTGAGATACAGTTTAAATATTTATAAAAACGTCCTTACGTCATGTCTAATTTACCATGACTGAACCACTAAAAAACATATCGGAACGCGGCATAAAAATGAAAATTAAATGGCAAAAACATACGTTACCGTGCGTTTTTTTGGAACATACGTTACCATATACGGCTCTTTGCGTAATGTTAAAGACCTGGCAAAAATTAAAAATTGAATTTCAGTTGAGACAGTCGTGGATTTTTGTTCTATACACTTATATGTTTTGAAATATTGAATACAATTTTGAATTTATTCATTTTTATATTTTGACACTTCAGCATGTGAATTGCACCTCTATATTGGGTTTGGGTGTGAGTCAAGAAGCTACAATATTCCTACGGCATAATATCTAATATACTGTTCTGCAATATTCTCTCCTTGTCTGTAGGAAAACGCTGAACCACGGACCTGTAACAAGTTCTAGAATATTCCGGAATTGTGTAAAAAAAAGCTCCGTCTTTGCATATTAATAATCAGACTCATCTGGGTATCATATGTTTGTCAAGCGGATTTGCAAATATACAGAAGATAAAAGTACCTGGCGCACACGCGTCTGTCAAGCGGATTTGCAAATATACAGAAGTATCCTTCCTCGATTATAAGTTATCATAACTGAAACAGGAATCTTTCTGTGAAGCCGCGATTTTTTAATTTTTTTTTTTTAATTCTCACAGTCGGAATGACGTCACATCCAGAGATAGTCCACAGCAAAAAGTTGCCTCTATAACGTCTTGGTCTATTAGACCCCATTCCCTATGATTTTAGATCGATCTATCCCTGTGGGGATTCTCACCAGATTACTGTCAGCTTAGCCGGCTTAAGCGTCTGTCCCGCCTACTAAAAGCTGTAAGGGAGTAAATAACTGTCGTGCGCGCTCGGCTGACTGCAATTTAGCGTGAACCCCCAGGGAGTTAGGTCGATCCGGATGGATCGATCTTAATCTCTGGGAAAGCACTCTAAGCAACCGTACCGCGCGGGTGCGTCCGCCATTATCCGAAACGCAAGAAGAACGCACTCTGGCAATCATATACACTAAACCACATACGTGCTTTACAGTCCTTGTCTCTATTGAACTTATACAGTCTAGTTGTGTAGAATATATGAAGATCTGCAGGGGGGCACGCCCTACCCCCCCCCCCC